CCATCGTGTCTCTTTCTTCTCTCCCAGGTGCACCTGTGAGCCAGAGCCATGTCCAGCTGCCAGCCCTGCACCCCTTGCTACCGGCCCTGCGACCCTTGCTGCCAGCCCTGCACGCCCTGCTACAAGCCCTGCACCCCCTGCTATAAGCCCTGTACCCCCTGCTACAAGCCCTGCACACCCTGCAACCAGCCTTGCACCCCCTGCTACCGGCCCTGCGACCCTTGCTGCCAGCCCTGTGGCCCCTGTGGTCCCACCCCGCTGGGCAGCAGCTGCAATGAGTGCTGTGTCAGGCAGTGCCAGAGCTCCCATGTCGTCATCGAACCCTCGCCCGTGGTGGTGACCCTGCCTGGCCCCATCCTCAGCTCCTTCCCACAGAACACTGTGGTGGGATCCTCCACCTCCGCTGCTGTTGGCAGCATCCTCAGCTGTGATGGAGTGCCCATCAACTCTGGGGGCTTTGACATCTCCTGCATCACCAACCGCCACTGCAACAGGATCTGCTAAAGCTGCTGGTGACAGCCCCACAGCAGGACCCCCTGGAACCCAGAAGATGGAAATGGACTGAGCATGGAGATCCTGACCATTGCTTTCAGAAGCACTGAGCATCCATGACTCCACCTGCACTGGAGGAGGGGTGACTGGGCTCTCTGAAACCATGGTCCTTGTCTAACTTGCCTGTTTCTTCCAGTATTCTTCCTCTCTCTCTTCTCTCTGTTTTTGTCCTCCCCTGGGCTGTGATCACTGCTGAGTCCCATCCAAGGTGTGAACTGCACCCTGGCCAAGGGACAGAGTCTCCTACATCCCCCTGGTGCTCCCTGTACTATGGTGCCCACTCAGAGGAACTTCTTTCCTTCTTCCAACTCATTAAAGTTTTGCTGCATCCCAGCCTGTGCCTCTGTGTGGTCCCTCTCTCTCCCCATGCTCTCCCCAGCTGCCAGACAGAAAGGTGTTGCTCTGTGGGGATGTGGCAGACACAGATCAGAGCCCTGGGTCTTCCTGGAGTGATGGAAAGGTGACAGTGTAGCAGGATGCTCTGCCCTGTAATGTGGTCAAGCAACTTGGAGAATGCCCTATTTATGAAGCTAACAGGAGTGGACTGAGGTGGGGGGGCTGTATCTGGCTCACCAAACCGAAATCAACATCCTTACATTGTTTCAGCCACGGATACATGACTCCAATCACTCCATACTATACAAGTCCAGTACAATTTTATACAATAGGTTCTTCCAATATTTTCCTGTTTAGATGTGTGTATGAACTTTCCTGCCTTGGAGTGAAAATGTCCCTTCAAGAATGCTCCTTTATGTCAAGTAAAAGAGATCTGCCCATGACCATTGGTATGATGAGTTGCATCACTATTTTAATAGTCATTTATTTTTGCTCGCTTTAATATAATTGCTTAAATATAATTGCTTTGATATAGTACATTATCCTATTATACTCTATACAGTACTAATACTTTTATGTTTTATATTGTGTAGTAAGTAATTCTGGTTAAGATATTTTGTCTAATAATTTTTCACATTAATTCATTTTACATATATATATATGCGTGTGTGTGTGTGTGTGTGTGTATGTGTAACAAAATTTTTCCATAATTAATCCTGTGGGACAAAGTTACTTAAACCACTGACAGACTAGAGCTAAGATTGGATGCAGCCTAACCCAGACTCCTCTCTGAGGAGGAATTTAGAAAGCCAAATGTCCTCTCTGCACCTCTCAACTCAACAGGATTTCTCTAATATACTCTGTCTGAAGCTCCCTCTCCACCAGTAGAGATGTGTAGTTGGCAGGATGTCAAATTTTGAGAGACAAAACAGAATATTTACAGAGGCACAGTATAGTCAACAAAACCAAGGACATGGTAATAGAAAAGGAAAACCACTCTGCCATTTTGGTGAGAGAAGTCTGTTGCCAAGCAATGAAATAAGGCATTTAGTGACCAAAGAGATAATCCAGACCATATGGGTGTCATGCTCTGCATATAAATATGTGGAAGAAGAAGGATGAGGGGGATGTTTGGAGTTAAGGTGTTTGTCTTCCCAAGTCAGCGTTCCACATGTTGCAGCCCTCCTTCCCTGGGGTTGAAAAAACACCCATCTGCCTTGGGAAATGGTGAATGAATTCCTTGCTTTTCTTGTGTGCTGGGGTTTTTTTATACCTGTTAAACCTGTTAAACTGTTTTTATCTCAACTCATGGATTTCCTCATCTTTACTGTTCTGAATTTCTCTCCCATCCTGATGGGGCAGTGTGAGTGAGCAGCTCTGTCATGCTCAGTTGCTGGCTGAGGTTAAACCACAACACCTGTCCACTGAGTAATGGCTTCATCCTCCAGGAGTAGCAGAAGGAAAAGGGACTGCAGGCTCACCTAATTCTTAAGAAGAAAAAGGAGAGTGAAGTAGATGAGAGACCAAGGACCTGCAGTGGCTTTTATACTGCTCCTGCACTGCCCCAGGCTCAGAGGTTGCCCAAGCAGACTGAGAAATTTCTGACAAGCTCTTCTGAAATGTAAAACATCTCAGATGATACAGGCTGTGTTTCAGGTTCTTGGTGCCTTTCACTTCTTTGTTTATACTATGACATTTCCCTCAAGGATGTTTGTTTTGCGGTTGGAATGAGATTTCCTAAAATTTCTGGGACAGGAACATGTAATTATGGGCAGAATACTCACACCAGTTGCTGGAGAAATCTTCTACAGATCAGGACCAGTGGCCTAGGGCCGTCCTGGGATGGTGTTTTCAACCCCACTGACAAAAGGCCAAGTTCCTCTCAGTCCTGCAGTCCTTGTCTGGACACCAAATGGATCCCGTTTGTGAGGACACACCATGTCCTTTTCCCTCTCTCTCTTCCTCCCAGCACCTTCTGATTGCTACTTGTCTTTCTCCTCCAGGCAGCTGAACTGCACTGCTGAGCTTCAACGTTTCTCCTTTGTTCACCAGTCTTGGAAGAGATTTCCCAGGCTGCTTGGCTTCCTCCACTCTTCAGGTCGTGACTGGGGATTCTCTTTGGGCCTTGAGGTGCCTTGGCATGCTCCAGCCCAGCCAGGGTTGTGCCCACTGAACACTATGAAATGAAAGGGTGTTTTTGCTTAATGGATGCACTTAGGCAGATCATAAATTCCTTTGAATGCATGGCATGGAGAAATTTGCATGCAATGCTATGCAGATGAGCACAAATGAGTCTGTACATTTCTGGCACTCATCACAACAGGATGTGATGGCCATCCCCTCAGCTCGTGTTCCTCACCACAGCCTGGCCCTGCAGGCTGGGCTGCCTCTTGCATCCTCCATGTTAAAAAGCTTAAAAGAGCATTAGCTCTGTGAAGGGAGAAATGCCAAGAGATCCTGCCCAGCTTGTGCATGGATCCCTGAGTGGATCTGCTTCCAGTGCTGCGTGGTGGGTGCCCGTCTCATGGAGTCAAGAGCTTCAGCTGCACAGGGCAAGGAAGGCAGGGCAGATGGGGACCATGGCAAACCAGGTCAGGGGGAGGTTGTCAAGGGGAGGAAGGCTGGAAGCTGGTGAGTTTTGGCAATACAAAAAAGGCTTCTACTCCTCTGTGGACTTTAACTTCAGGTGCTGTCAACTGCAAACTGGTGAGGACAAAAAGACACAATAGGGAATTTGCCAGAGGAACCCGTGCTCAAATAATTTTTGCTCCTGTGACATCTTCAGGAGACTGCCTCTCTTAGGAAACTTAAGCACCAGTCTCCTAACCTGATCTGATGTCTTGAGAAGTTTCTTGTTGCAGAAGAAGGCTGCTGAGCTTGCCCTGCCTTTGGAGCAATCCCATTTGCTGCTCTTTGATGTGGGCTCCAGGGATAATGTCCAAAATGTTCCTAGAGTGACTACAGAGCTCTGGGATGAAGTAAGGGTGGGAAGGCCCAAGTTGGAAAAGACTGAGTAGAAAAGAACTCATCCTATGGGTGGACACCTGACTGCAGGCTTTGTGTTACAGGTGGAGATTTGGTTTTGATTGCCAGGGAAATGTCTTTGATGAATGAGGGGTATTGAACAAGGATGGGAAATATTTGACAAAGTCATGCAAATAATCTTTAAATTTCATAAGAAATCAACAGCATCCTTTACCTACCTTTTTATTCATCCTTCTCTTGGGTGTTATATTGGTATTGAATCTGTGCTGCTCACTGCACTCCTGAGGAGATATTATAGAGAAGTGGCTCACCTTGGCACAGACAGGCCCTCAAGAATTCCCAGAGGAACAGTTTTTCTACAGTAGCATCAGACTCCTCTAGAGCTCCTGCTGCCTGGCTTGCCTGCAATGCTTTTAAAACATGTGTGATCCCCCTAAAGGCATCACATGGCCCTGCCCCTAATGAAGTGTGGAATGTTTCTCACCACTCATTAAGAACTGGAAGGCAAATCCTTCCCTTGTGGTCAATTAGGGAGCTTTTCCAGTTTTGTTGGCTTGTTTGTTTTTACTGGCACAGGAGATGGTAAACAGGAGGATTTATTCAGCTCTCAAGACAGTGGCATTTCTTCCTGTATTCTTTCGTCTGAGCCTTTGCCCTTTGTTTCTGGTAAAATCAAGACATTCTGATGACGCAAATTTAGTGGATCAAGATGTCTGTGTGGGAGATGCACTATTTAGCTCTGGTGAGAATCCTCTGAGCCTGGACATCTAGTGGAATTCTCACACACCTTAAACTCCAGCTTGTATCTCCCCAGTTTGGCTATAAGGATTATTTGAGAGAGAGGGCAGAAGATTTTGATAAAGCCAATGTGAACAGGATGTTCACTGCTCTGGTTGAATGGTGGGAACCAATTGTGTGATCCACATGCATTTCCTTGTGTGCCTGACATGCTCCAGCAAATGATTAAAGGTGAACCCACCACGTGCCATCAGAGCCTGGGTCAGCAGCTGTGTCTGACTGCTGAACCTCACACCCCTGTCCAAAGTGCTCTAGGGAGAGAGGTGGCAGGGTGAGGGTTTTTGTGAGTAGGAGAGAAGTTGGAATGGTTGCTCTAATCAGCTGCATCTCTAAATCAGCTTCCTCCTAACCCCACTGAGCCTTTGGAGTTGACACTGGAGTTGCAAAAAGTGGTTTTCTCATGTCCAACATTTTGTCTCTAGACATTGTAGACAGTGTCTTTTTGGGTGGAAGTCTTCTCAATAAACCTGGATGTCTACTCTGATTTTAATTTTTTTTTTTTTACTTAGGTTTTTTAGTCTTTAAACTCTCTTGAACACCACTGGGAGAAAATTTGATCTTTGCAAAATGTGGCTTGCCTGACCAGTACAGTAACTTTTGGAGGAGATAAATTTAGGTCTGAAATTGCCTGTTTCTCCTCACTGATGATCTGTGACAAATAATTCAGGTGGAGACACCTGCTCTGGAGGTCAAGGAGATAAATTCTTTTCTGTTTCGAATTATATATCCTAATAAATATCAGAAAAGTCTCAATTAGCTCAGACAAGCTCTATCCTGGACCACAGTTTCTGCTTATTTATAATATGAAAAGGAGATTTATGAGACTTTCAGAT